GAGCCATGACCTTCTCATTGTGTCTGGTGTCCCTGTATGTACAACACGTGTTCCTCACCCCCCGAGCCATGACATCACAGGGTGGGATCTGAAGGAATGAGTCACATGGAAGAATTTTGGGGGTAAATTGCCCCAATTTTATGGATAATAAAGCAAATGACAAAAAGGAGGCGGAAGGGGCGGTCCTTCCACTCCTAAGTGCAGCGTCCCATGTATAAATAATCTATGTCGGCAGTAAGGCACGTGTAGCATGTCGGTGCACGTGTAGCATGTCGGTGCACGTGTAGCATGTCGGTGCACGTGTAGCATGTCGGTGCATGTGTAGCATGTCCGCATTGTAGCTAGGAAAGGCTCATTGGTGAATGTTACCATGATGGGTGGCCGGTGACCCCGGCTCTTAGGTAGCGCTCTGTGACCTTTGGCCCCAGATATCCTTTGGCATCCAATCAGAGGAAGGTGTCCTCTTCTCCCCTCATCTCCTCCATGAGAAGCGTGTGCTTGTCGGGCTCATCCAGCAGAATGTTCTGTTGGGTCGGTTTATCGGTCAGCAGGGAGTTCAGAGACGCTCGGCTGTAGTTCACAAAGCGGTCAAACAGGTTGAGTTTCGGGGAGCTCCTCCGGTTCTCCGAGATCCCAACGTGGACACTGATGTCGGAGAGGGATCTGGGGATCAGGTGACCTTCCGCCTGCAGCTCCAACTTCTCCCGACTCGGCTTACGGTATCTGTGAGAGAACATTCACATACGTGTCACCGGAGAGAACATTCACATACGTGCCACGTAATGCTCCCGGCTATGGACTGTGCTGGGCAATTCCTACAATCCGCCCCCCATGATGGAGCCCGACACCCCCCGGCCCCCCAAACCTCCACCAGTCCTGAACCCATGGACCCAACACCTCTCCTGACCCCCATGGGCCTGCCACCAATCCTGAACCCATGGACCCAACACCTCTCCTGACCCCCATGGGCCTGCCACCAATCCTGAACCCATGGACCCACCATCTTCTCGGACTCCATGGACCCCACCGCCTCTCCTGGACCCATGGACCTGCCACCAATGCTGAGTCCCCTGACCTGATGAGCCACATAGGCTATTGCTGGGAATCCCCTCATTGTAATTGGGGGACACGGGTATTGGGGGACACGGGTATTGGGGGACACGGGTATTGGGGGACATTTCATACTTACAGTTTAAGGAGCAAAGAAGACAAGACAACGGAGACGGAGGAGGCGGCCATTGCTGCCGATCCCATCCAGGGCTGCAGAATGATACCCACAGGCATGAAGACCCCTGGAAGGAAGATGAGAAACCCCTTTACATACGGGCCACTGAACTACCCTGTCGTGGTCCTCCCACCCCTCCTTGCCAGGACCCCCCCTTAGTCCCGGAGAGGAGAGCAGCTCTGCAGGATTGTCAAGACTGGACCCACCGGACCTGGTACCGGACTTCCTCAGAACTGATATGTATGTATCAGCCAATTTCACTTCCTCCCACGGGGCAAATCTCCTGAATGAGACACAGGCCAGGGGCAGATCTCCTGAATGAGACACAGGCCAGGGGCAGATCTCCTGAATGAGACACAGGCCAGGGGCAGATCTCATGTTGTAGGACACAGGCCAGGGGCAGATCTCATGTTGCAGGACACAGGCCAGGGGCAGATCTCATGTTGTAGGACACAGGCCAGGGGCAGATCTCATGTTGCAGGACACAGGCCAGGGGCAGATCTCATGTTGTAGGACACAGGCCAGGGGCAGATCTCATGTTGCAGGACACAGGCCAGGGGCAGATCTCATGTTGTAGGACACAGGCCAGGGGCAGATCTCATGTTGCAGGACACAGGCCAGGGGCAGATCTCATGTTGACTCTCCTGACCCCCATGGGCCTGCCACCAATCCTGAACCCATGGACCCAACACCTCTCCTGACCCCCATGGGCCTGCCACCAATCCTGAACCCATGGACCCAACACCTCTCCTGACCCCCATGGGCCTGCCACCAATCCTGAACCCATGGACCCACCATCTTCTCGGACTCCATGGACCCCACCGCCTCTCCTGGACCCATGGACCTGCCACCAATGGTGAGTCCCCTGACCTGATGAGCCACATAGGCTATTGCTGGGAATCCCCTCATTGTAATTGGGGGACACGGGTATTGGGGGACACGGGTATTGGGGGACACGGGTATTGGGGGACATTTCATACTTACAGTTTAAGGAGCAAAGAAGACAAGACAACGGAGACGGAGGAGGCGGCCATTGCTGCCGATCCCATCCAGGGCTGCAGAATGATACCCACAGGCATGAAGACCCCTGGAAGGAAGATGAGAAACCCCTTTACATACGGGCCACTGAACTACCCTGTCGTGGTCCTCCCACCCCTCCTTGCCAGGACCCCCCCTTAGTCCCGGAGAGGAGAGCAGCTCTGCAGGATTGTCAAGACTGGACCCACCGGACCTGGTACCGGACTTCCTCAGAACTGATATGTATGTATCAGCCAATTTCACTTCCTCCCACGGGGCAAATCTCCTGAATGAGACACAGGCCAGGGGCAGATCTCCTGAATGAGACACAGGCCAGGGGCAGATCTCCTGAATGAGACACAGGCCAGGGGCAGATCTCATGTTGTAGGACACAGGCCAGGGGCAGATCTCATGTTGCTGGACACAGGCCAGGGGCAGATCTCATGTTGCTGGACACAGGCCAGGGGCAGATCTCATGTTGCTGGACACAGGCCAGGAATAGAAATACAGTATGCAATAAACATAGATGTAACATCGGTGTAAAAGCTACAAACTGCTCCGCCCCTAATGGCTGCCCCGCCCCCTAATGGCTGCCCTATTGCTTCATACCTGCAGCTATTGGAATGCCAACGAGGTTGTAGATGAGAGCAAAGACAAAGTTTATCCGGATTCTCCTCACCGTCTTCCGTGACAAGTCGATGCTCGCCACCACGTCCAACAGATCGTTCTGTGCGGGGAGAAGACGCGTGTTACCATAGAG